CCTCCGCCCGGCTTGGAGGGAGTTCTCCACTAGCCAAGTACCGCACGATGGGATCCATCCATGAGCCCAACACTTGAATAACAGCTGCCTCTACCTGGTCGTATGCCCGATTCCTGACAACCTCTACCAGGACTTCTTTGTTCAATGTACCGACCGAGGTGGAAGCCAGTTTGGACAGAGCATCCGCTCTCTTATTTTGGCTTCGCGAGACCTGCTTGAGTGTGAATACCTTGAACTGAGCTCTCAGCTCATGCACTTTGGCGACATACCTCCTTAAGGGCTCTTCCTTAACCTCATAACGTCCTCCTACCTGATTCACTATTAGCTGCGAGTCGCTGTAGACTTCTATTGACTCGGCCCCCAACTTCCGAGCTATCATCATCCCTGCGATTAGGGCCTCATATTCGGACTCGTTGTTAGAGGCCCTGAAATCAAATCTCAGGGCGTAGGCCAGCTCATCCCCCTTGGGGCTAGTCAAGAGAAGCCCTGCTCCACAGCCTTCCTTGCTTGAGGATCCATCCACGAAAAGCGTCCAGGTCGGGATGGTCCGATCGACCTTGCCCGTGACCTGTCCAGCATCAACAGCCTCTTTGACCTGCTCGGCCTTGGCTCCCTTTGTGGCCTGTGCGACCTCGGCAAGTCCCTCGGCCTGCTTGGCCTCGACTGCGTCTATGGTCTGTTCAGCCATGAAAGCCTTAGCACCCTTTGTGACCTCGGCAGCTTCTCCGACCTGTCCGGCCTCAGCCACGTCTTGGGTCGATTTGGTACCGGCGGCTTGTACGACCTCGACAGCTCCTCTGGCCTGTTCGGCCTTGGCTGCGCCTCTGGTCAGCTCGGCTGGCGACTGCTCTTGCCCAAAGGAGATTCCTTCAGCTATGAAATCTGCCAATGCTTGAGCCTTAATGGCCGTGCGGGGTTGGTAGCTAAGATCGTATTCAGACAACTCCACTGCCCACCTTACCATTCTTCCTGATGCATCAGGCTTTGAGAGAATTTGCTTGAGAGGCTGGTCGGTCATGACCACCACGGGGTGAGTTTGCAAGTAGGATCTGAGCTTCCGGGTCGCGTGCACCAGTGCCAAAACATACCGCTCAATTGAGGTGTACCTCGGCTCCGCCCCCTGCAAAGCCCGGCTGACATAGTATATGGGCTTCTGGATTTTGCCTTCTTCCCGAACTAGTACCGCACTGATCGCCTCCTCCCCAACTGCCAGATAGATGAATAAGACTTCTCCTTGTGCGGGAGAGGTCAAGGCTGGCAAGCGCGCGATGTGGGCCTTGAGCTCGTCAAATGCGCGCTGGCACTCTGGAGTCCACTCGAACTGGGGACCTCTCCGCAGGGCCCTGAAGAAGGGGGAACCTCGGACGGCTGACTTCGACAAGAACCTGTTCAGGGCCGCCATCCTGCCAGCTAGCCGTTGGACCTCTTTTACGTTTCGAGGAGGAGCCATGTCCATGATAGCTTTTACCTTGTCGGGATTAGCTCTTACCCCGTCCTTGGATATCATGTACCCCAGGAACTTGCCCGACCTGACCCCGAAGGTGCACTTCTTGGGGTTCAGCCGCATCCGCGAGCTCCGTAGAACGTCAAAGATCTCTCTGAGGTCCTTGATGAACTGATCCTGAGTTCGGCTTTTTACCAGCATGTCATCCACGTACACTTCCATATTTCGGCCGATCTGGTTTTTAAACAGCTTGTTGACCAGCCGTTGATAGGTCGCACCTGCATTTTTCAACCCAAATGGCATGGTGGTATAACAATACGTACCGTATTCGGTGATGAAGGCAGTCTTCTCCTGATCTTCCTCGTCCAGAGCTATCTGGTGATAACCTTTGAAAGCATCCAGAAAGCAGAAGATCTCGTACCCCGTGGTAGAGTCTACCAACTGGTCGATACGAGGGAGGGGGTAACAATCCTTCGGACAGGCCCTGTTCAGGTCGGTGAAGTCTACACACATCCTCCAGGCCTTATCCTCCTTTTTGACCAGCACGGGATTGGCCAACCAGGTCGGATAGTAGATCTCCTTCACAATTTTGGCCTCCAACAGCTTGCCTACCTCTTCTTTGACGACCTCATTGCGCTCGGGAGCGAAATTCCTCTTCTTTTGCTTCACTGGCCGGATGTTTGGATCAACGTGCAATCTGTGAACTGTCAGCTCGGGAGGGACTCCGGGCATGTCATCAGCACTCCACGCAAAAATCTCGGCATATTCCTCCAGCAGAGACTCCAGGGCTCTCCGTGTCAGCTCGCTCAGTCCAGCTCCGGTCTTTACCCCACGATCAGGTCGCTTGAGACAGATGGGCAGTTCGACCATACTCTCATCCGTCTCCAACCTTTCCTCCTTTTCAGCAGGCTCCCAGGGCTCCAGACAGGTCGTCTGGGCCACCAGCTTCTCCTTGCCTTTGAGGGTTGCGATGTAACAGGCCCGAGCCACCTCCGGGTCCCCCAGCACCTCGGCCACCCCATCAGGCGTTGGGAACTTCATGCTAAGGTGCAGGGTCGAACAGACAGCCCGGAGTGCGTTTAAGGTAGGTCGTCCCAGTATCATATTGTAGGAGGACGGCTCCTTTACCACCGCGAAGTTCACCGGGACAGTTCGGCACTTGGGCGACTCCCCTACCGTGACCATGAGGGTTATCATTCCTTCTGGCCTGACTGGCGGACCTGCAAAACCTATCAAGGGAGTTCGAACGGGGATGAGCTGCTTGTCTTCCAGCTGCAACTCCTTGAAGGTTTTGTAATACAGCACATCGATGGCACTCCCATTGTCGATGTACACTTTCTTTACCTTGTAGTTACACATGATAACTTCTACCACAATTGCTTCATGGTTATTGGAGGCTAAGGGTACTGCGTCCTCTGGCCCATATATGATCTCCTCGTACACCTTTAATCGCTTATTCGAGCTCTCCCCGCTGGGAGGAGGCCGGTTGTTTCGCCGAGCAGTGTGGCTATCTCCTCCAGCAGGTCCCCCCGCAATGGTGTTGATCACTCCGGCTAGGTTCTGGACCCCCTGCTCCGGAGTACGATCACGGGGACCTCGAGGTCGGTCGTGCGAGCTAGTCGTCCGATCTCGCTTGAAACCTCCTTGCTTCTGATCTGCACGCCCGTCACGGACGAACTGCCCAAGATGACCTCTCCGTATCAGTTTCTCGATCTCCCTTTTGAGGTGCCGACAGTCCTCCGTGTCGTGCCCTACGTCCCTGTGGTACGCACAATACAAGCCCTGGTCGCGCTGAGCTTTATCACCCCCCAACGGCCGAGGAGGGCGAGAGATCCCTTGCTGCTCCATTACAGCCAGAACTCGAGCTCGGGGCGCGGTGAGCGAAGTCCAGGTCTTCTCTTTCTCCCATGGTTGGCTCCGAGGCAAGCGCTCGGGTATGTTCTTGCGGCCCTGACCTGTCCGTGACTCCCCCAGGTCGGCGCCCTTCCTGCGCTTGTCATCCCGCAGCCTTTCCTGGACGCCCTTCAACCGATTGGCTTCCTCGGCATTTGCCTTCTCATGAGCTCGGTCTAGCATCTCCCGGACGGACTTGGGAGGTCTCTCTACAAACTCCGTGTACAATTTCTGCTTGCGCAGCCCATTGACAAAGGCTGCCATCACAACCTTGTCATCTCGGTCACGCACCTGAAGGGATTCATTGTTGAAACGCACCATATATTCACGCAATGACTCCTCAGGCCTTTGATGAACAGTCATCAGGTGAGCCGTGGTTTTGGAATAAGCGCGAGAGGAGACGAACTGGGCCGCGAACAGCCGCGCGAGCTGACTGAACGACCGAACTGACCTGGGGGGCAAACCCTGGAACCACTGTCGGGCCTTTCCCTCCAAGAACATCGGGAAGGTCTTGCACCTAACTGCATCCGCAGCTGTCTGTAGGCGCATCTGAGTCAGGAACGCGAACAAGTGATCCTCCGGATCTGTGGTCGCGTCGTAGGATTTCATGGTTGGTATTTTGAACTTGGCAGGCAGAGGGTAATCTTCGATATCCGGTACGAAAGGAGAGGCGGTGTACCTATCCGCCTCCGGATCCAGCAGGAGGTCCAGTTCATCCTGGACCTGATAATTCTCCTTCCTATGAGGGTCCTCCATCCGGGCAGGCCTCAGAACGGGCTCCGGATGGCTAGTTCGGGAATTCCTATGAGAGGGCTCTGGCACCGGGACCTGCTCGCGTGTAACTTCCCTTCGCGCCCTCTTCGACCTGGGGCTTCCAGATCGGGATTCCGAACTCCCTGTTCTGCCCGTTTTCCGCACCCGACACTCCGGGCTGGGGGGGACCCCAGATTGTCCCTTCACTGCACCAGATTGTCCAGATTGTCCCTTCAAGTAGGTCACTATAGCCTCAAAAGTAGGCAAGTTCGCGGCAACCGACTGCACCAGTTGTTCCGGCGAGATCTGCGAGAGCTCGACCCTTGCCTCCCCTGTGTTGGCTTCCTGGTGAACTTGCTGGGGACCGCCCTGTGCGTTCCCCTCAGCACCATCCACATTCCTCTGAGATCTAGTCTTCGGCATGTTGTTCGCGAAAAAAGAGAATACTTGGTTCCCACAGACGGCGCCAATTGATGCGACTGCCGAAGTGAAGATCCGAACTGAGCTGGTTGAGCGTCCGACCTGCACGTGAGCGAGCTGCGGGGCTGAGTCCCCTGTAGCAACTCCGACGATCAAGTCAGAACTAGTTTGTAAGTAAAAAGAGTAGAGTCTGCACTATGAGTAGCGTACCTTGTGTTTCTTATGGGTGTGGTATTTATAGAACACCAGGTGGTAGTTTCCTGGTAGGACAAGGAGTCCTTATTGGAGAGGATAAGCCTCTAGGGCTCCACTACCCAGCTCTGGTAGACGAGGGCTCCGAAGCCCATCAGGCCCATCCGCCTGGGAGGCGGCGCTCGTCTGGTCCTGCAAGAGGACCTGACCCCTAGACCAGCCCATCACGTCAGGACTCTTGGGCCGAGCTGACGTGTATGCGGACCGGGCCGAGCTGACGTGTATGCGGACCGGGCCGATGTGCTCATGGGCTCCACTACAGTTAGCATTGCCAAGAAGGAATAGGAGTAGAATAATCATCACTACGCGAAGAGGGGATATAGCCTATTCACTGAAAGATGGATCCGTTGATGTCCATCCCATTCAGCATCTATCTCTAGAAAAGGCTAAGGAACTCATTCACAGAATCGCCTTTCCAGGATCTCGTATATGCCCTCCAGCTTTAGCTACACTGTCCAATGAAATTCTAGGAAAATGTGAAGGGCTACCATTGGCAATCAATGAAATTGGTCACCTTTTGTCAACTAAGGGGGAAAGGGAACCTGAATGGAAAAAATTGCGTGATAGTCTTGCATCGGAACTGACAAGCCATGGCCGGCTTGCAAATATTGCAAAAGTGTTGATTCTTAGTTATGATGACTTACCTTACCATCTTAAAAACTGTTTTCTGTTGATGAATACTTTTCCCCCTAATCACCCCATCCAGCGCACAGAGCTAATACGGTTATGGATAGCAGAAGACTTCATCACAGAAGGGAACAATGGAAAAGAACTCGAAGATTTGGGGGAAGAATACCTGAACGAGCTCATTCAAAGAAACTTGGTTCAGGTGTGGCAAATGGACATCGATGGGAGACCAAGAACTTGTCATGTTCAAAATATTATTCATGAGATTGTTCTCTCACAGCTTCAAGATGAAAACTTTTGTGAAGTTTATCCGGATCAAGGTACGTTTGACATCAGTAAGGAGAGGGTCAGGCGAATATCGATTCATAAAGGTGATCTAGGCCAGCTGTGCCCAAATCTTCGTGCTCGCGCTTTGTTAAAGTTTGGCCGATCAGCACCATGCCAGCACTCCATTCCAATTGGCTATTCAAGCTTAAAGATGTTGAGGGAATTGCATCTGGAGGGTGCAAACTTGGACATGTTTCCTGCAGACATTGAAGAACTATTGTTGTTGAGGTACTTGTGTTTGAGGAATACAGGAATCAGAAGCATTCCGAAATCAATAGGAAAGCTTAAGCACCTTGAAACCTTGGACCTCAAACAAACATTAGTCAGAACGCTGCCAAAAGAAATATGCCATCTTTCTAAGCTTCGTTACTTACTTGTTTACAGATATGACATTAAAGATTATGTGGCATTTAACACAATTAAAGGATTTGAGGTCGCAGGAGAGATCACGCGGTCTGCCAATCTTCGCAAGCTACTGTTTGTGCAAGTCAATAAAAATCACAAAATCATTGTTGCAATGCGAGGCCTCAGAGAACTGAGAAGGCTGGGAATCATGGGTTTGCGCAAAGAAGATGGAAGGATCTTGTCTGAGACTATTCAAATGCTGCGAAATTTGCATTCTTTGAATGTGGCAGCAGAAAATGAGGCGGAAGTTCTAGACATGCAAGAAATTTCTCATCCTCCTCGACTCCAGCGTTTGTATTTGAATGGAAGACTGGAGAGGATGCCTATCTGGATTTCCGAACTTCATGATCTGGTAAGGCTTCGTTTGAAGTGGTCTCGGCTGGATCAACAGTTCAGCAATCCCATTAATATCCTTCAAGATCTTCCTAATTTACTAGAACTCCAGCTGCTTGACGCCTACAATGGGGACCAATTGGATTTCAATGCTGGCAAATTTCAGAAGCTCAAGATACTGGAGTTAGAGCTACTTCAGCAGCTGAAAATGGTCATAATGGAACGCAATTCATTGCCTTGTCTACAAAAGCTGATCATAAGGCGATGCGGTCAGTTAGAGCAGATTCCAGTAGGTATAGATGACCTCAGCCAACTCAAGGAGATTCATTTGCATGATATGCCGAAAAATTTTGTCTCCATGCTCGAGAAAAATGGTGGCAGTCTTTATCATCTTGTACATCATGTGCCATTAATACGTTCTTATGATGCTCAGAATGGTGGACGGTGGGATGTGAAAGATCTTTCTGATTGATTAAAAAAAAAGATCAAAATGAGAGATTCATTCCCCCTTTTTGGTAAGGCAAAAATTTCGGTTGTGTAAATTTATGAATTATATGTAATTCCTACAGTCACAAGATCAGAATTTTCTTTTGTGAAATAATTTTAGTACTACTATACAAGTTGTAGCCTTCACTTCCCTACAACAATTTGCTCTATTTTACACCATGTCATGTGAGCCTTCTCCATTATATCATTCTCAAAGAGTTTTGTGAAAGTGAAGAGCGAAGAATGCAACTAAAGCTAATTAGCTTTTGATCGCAGTTAGCTCACATAGACATTCAAAGAAGTTCTTGTGTAAATTTCAGTTAGCTTTACTTCATGGAACTTCAGATAAGATCAGTTATTAATGTATTAGGGGCCGGGGGGGGGGGGGGAAGATAGTCTAAGCTCATATTTTCTAACTATTTTCTTAGTCTTAGTTTCAACTCGATCTTTTTTCTAACTAAGATGCAATCGCATATCATCTAGAAGAGAATTTTCGATGGAATGAAATGATTAATCTAAAGTAAGACATTATTAAATTACATATTTAAACCAATCTAAATTAATTTATCAAATACGAGAATGATTGGTTTGATAATAGGTATCCACTTTTGTAAACTTCATAGCTATTGGGTCTATTTTCTTTTGAAGTTTAGTAGCATGACAAGTCTGTAATTTTGGAAGTTTCACACATACTGCAGCTCTCTCTATCCTTAATTATTTATCACTTCATGTAAGACATAGGCGAAAATATCTACAAATCAGGGATGGGATGGAAATACCTAACATAAAGGGATAAAATAAAGATAGGCGTGAGAAAAGTAGTGGCCAAGAGTTTGCTTTCACAGGGAAAAATGGGGACTTGGACAAGTACAGTCGTTCACATTATAGTGGTATATTTTTGTTGTATTTGCTATACGGATTAGTGTACAATCATATTTACTCCTCCCTTAACAAGCCATCATTAAAATTTTAAAACCCTATACAATTCGAAAGCCAAATACATCACCTTAAACAAAAACAAGGTGAAGAATTTTAAACCATAGCTATTAATGGAAGAGAAAAAGTGAATTCTCTCCTTATTTTTCACAATACACATTTGGATGCATTACACTATGAAGAGACATGATCATTTTAAATTTAACTAATTTTTACCCTTCTTAATAAATGAAAATATGTGTCCTATATGCATATGTACATTGCAAGAAATAAAGAAAGAATCCACTGAAAACGAGCTAAAATAGGTAGAGAAGGTAGCGGGTGTGTAAGTATATTCGAGAAAAAGAGTTTCGCTTGAGGAATGGGTATGATAGTTGGGGGAAGAAGGAGTTGGTAACGATGGCCAGAAAATGATGAATGTACTCTTTTTTTTTTTTGGTTGGATTCTTGCATGAACGGTAGTGATTTCATTTTATATCAATGGAGGTAAGTGTAATATTATTGAAACAAAGAGGGAGTTGAGTGTAATTATCATAAACCTCAAATGAGGCTTACCTCAAAGGGGGTTTATGAAATTATACCATAAAAATATAGATGGTGTTAGGTGAATATAGTAAGTAAAACGATTGAGGCCAGGAAAAATAGTTAAACAAATGCGGGATAACGTGGTAGAATACAAAATCATAGAAGGGTTAAATAATAATAATTGACCCTTTTATCTATTAGATTTACATCACTTGGATATTATAAGCGTCCATAATTAGTTTAATTATGATGGGCATCCTCCATTTCGATGTAGTTCATCAATCCATTTTGGATTGTATAGAAGTGGATTGCAATTCGTTCTGCCTACATGAAGTACTTCAAGGTCATAATGTGATAATGAAAGGATATACATATGCGTAAAATTTGTGGATATGGAAAATAAACACTTTTGGAGAATTCATAGTGGAAAATTGTCTATACTATTCAAATTTTTATGATCTTTAACTTTTTCTATCTTTCAAATAAAAATTAACAAGTTCAGCACAACCATATGGAGGTGAAATTGCAAAGAAGTACTTCAGCAGTAAGTTGCAAGGTAGATTCTTCATCCTGTCCCCTTCCCCCTTCACAAAAAAACTGCGTTGGTGAATTTTAACCATAAGATCTACTCTAGTTATTGAACAATTTATGAACAATTCATAAGTTACTCAATAGCTAATGAAATCTTGCCAAGTGCATAATTACTCCTTCTATCGTCCCAATATGTTTATCGTTCTTCGAGAATCCAACTTTTTAATAATAATACTTTAATTATGATATTTGTATTTTTCTTTTCAGTTTGATTCTCCAAATTTTGAATTTTGAATTTTAACATAAAATGTGCATAAATAGAGACATGGACAACATTGGAAATAGAAATTAAAAATGACTTTAACTTGTATGGCATAACAAATATATTGGAATATTTTAGAGTGAAATAGATGACAAATATTTTAGAACTTAAGGGTGTAATATGTAATAAGTACATTTGGCAAGGAATGCCAAGTCAAATTTGACTGACTGTAACCCACTTCTATTCTATGTCCCCTCCACCGCGGTTCTGCACTACACAATCTTCTCCATTCGCATTTGCCCAAAGGGCTGCAGAGAGTTGAGTGAGGGAGGAAGAAGGCATAAAGGAAGATAACTAAAATAATATGTGTTTGAATAGAGTATTATTTGAAATAATTACTATAGCACTTTTTATGATGTGATGTATGTGAGCTAAAAAATAGTTGGAAATATAAAAAAATGAATTGAAACATGCGTTTATGATGCAAACGAAATATTATTTGAGATAAATTTACAATCCAAACACAGCTACAAAGCCACAAAAGTAATAAAAAATTGTAAATAATGACTTGGCATATACTTTTGCCAACTAGACTCATTGGTCATCCACTTAATAAGTTTCAATTGGCTATCCTTAAAAAAAAAAATTTTTAATTAACTATTGAGCAACCCTATGGATTGTCTGTAAATTGCTCAATGACCATAATAAAGTTTGTCCCCAGTTATCATATGTCAATTAAAAAGAGAGAAAAATACAGTTTTGATACCTAAATTTTGACACATGAATGGTTTTAGTCCCCAAATTTTGGGCAACAACAAATTTGGTATCCAAATTTTGAAATTTCGAGCACATTTAGTACCCTTGACGTTTTTTTCCCAAATTGCTATCGGAAAAAGTCAGGTAGCAGTCATATGTCCGGTCACTATTATATAAAAAAAATGTCAAAAAAATGTCAAATATCATTCTAATACTAAGTATTAAGTTTAAGGACTAATAATGTAATTAAAAAAATCTAAGGACTAAATAAAATCACATGAGTCATTTAAAAAAAAAAAAAAGAGTTTGACAGAGTTTTACATCGTTTTCTTCTTCAATAGCGCTGTCTACAAATTTTTTTTTTTTTTTTTTTTGTGATTATACTAGTATACTACTGTCTACATCTTTTGATGGAGACTTTCCTCTTTCTTTTTTTTTTTTTCCCTTGCTGGCAAGTTGCAAGTCGGGCTTTCGTTTATTAGTAGCAAAGTTGTTGGTCCCAACTACTTGACAAATACATTTGCAATTAAGCATCCCAACTACGTTGAAAGTTCCCTTGGATTTTCTATTCTTTTCAAGTGGGTGATGTAGGCTGGCTCTGAGCTGCAAGTGGAAATTTTATTTGCTAGTAGAAGCATTAGCAGTAGAACAAACAGCTTGTACCTTTTGCGAAGTATGGTTGTCAAGAAAAAAACTAATGATAATACTAATAAAGAAAGAAAAGTATGCTTTGCAGTTCGGCAAACTGAAAAATCAAAGATTCTCGTTCTTATCCGAGTCGACAGCTATGTTTGCACGGGTTGCCCGCAGATGTCGTGCTTACAGGACTTGACTTTTACCAAAAAAAAAAAGAAGAAAGAAAGAAAGGGTTTTGAACATTGAATTCACCTAACATAAATCAAACAAATGCACACACATCGATTGTGTCCTTTTGCATTTAAGTACCTTGGCACGCCTGTTTTAGGAGTGTTTTAGAAAAACAAAATTTTACTATTAAAATATTTATTTAAGGTGACACTTTAAAACACTCACAAGTTTTAAAATAGGGATAATTTCAAAAATCTCCCTTGAAATTTTTAACAATTGCACTTTAATACTCCCTAATATTAGAAATTATACTGCCCTCTCCTTGAATGACATTTTTTATAACTATTTTAGCCCTTGTCGAGAAAAGCTTCCTTAAAAATTGAGAAAAAGTACTGACACATAATTTTCTACCAAAATTTGCCCTTCTTGTATGTAGGAGAAAACATGTACCACTTTTTTATGAAATTAACAAAAAAAAAAAGGAAAAATATTGGCCTTTCAATGAGCCTCTTAGGACAGCAAAGAATACATATATAAAAGTCAACTTTTGACCATTAAAAACAAGCAGTGTAATTTTCAATATTAGAGGATATTTAAGTGTAATTACTAGAAGCTGTGAGAGAGGTTACTGAAATTATCCCTTTGATATATATATATATATATATATATATATATATATATAGTAGTGGTGAGTGGTAGAGGTTGCTGGTAGTGTGTAGGGATGGCAATAGGGTGGGGTTGGGGCGGGGGATGGGGGAGCCCATTAATTCCCCCCTGTCCCCCGCTCCTCCCACCCCACCTCGCTTCCCCCGTAGGGGAATTCACGGGGTTAACAAAAATTTATTTTAGTCAAATTTTAACAAATAATCAAGTACTAAAATATCAACACATCACCAAAGTATTATCCATTGTAATTTCATAATTGAAACTCATAAAAATAATTAAAAAAAGTTATTTGAATACAATCCAACATGATAAAACAAATACAACTAAAGTAGTTAAGTTTTCACTTTTAATACAAATACAATCACTAAATCATTATTATATTTTTTATGAGAAAAAATGTGTTATTATGTCAAGTGTAATTAAGAATTTAGTATAAATGTATTAGTAAATTTATTTTAACTAATTAATAATTTCTATTAGTATAAACATATATAATTATTAGT